AGAAAAAGACTTACGCAACTCTTTCTTCAACTCGTCAATCTTAGAAGTATTCTTTCCCACAATCAACATATCATCCACATACAACCAGAGGATGATAAAATCATTGTCAGAAATTTTTTGTACAAATACACAATGATCTGAAAAAGTCTTTTTATAGCCTTGCTCCCCCATAGCAGATTCAAACTTCTTGTACCACTGTCTAGGGGCTTGCTTTATGCCATAGAGACTTTTTCTGAGTTTGCACACAAAATTTTCTTGACCATCTACTTTGAAGCCCTCAGGTTGTTCTATATAAATCTCTTCTTCTAGGTCACCGTGAAGGAAAGCCGTCTTCACATCCATCTGCTCAATCTCTAAATTAAGACAAGCAGCCAAACCTAGAACTGTACGAATCAAGGACATTTTCACAACAGGAGAAAATATTTCGTCAAAGTCAATACCCTTCCTTTGACCAAATCCCTTAATAACTACCTGGGCTTCAAGTTGTGTTCTTCAACCTTAACTTTGACACCCACTTGTTCTTCAAAGCTCTCATGCCCTTGGGCAATTTTACCGACTCATAAGTGTAGTTCTCATGCAGAGACTTCATCTCATCTTGCATGGCTTCAATCCTTTGATCTTTGTGCTCATCTTTCATGGCCGCCTCATAACATTCATGTTCTCCCCCGTCAGTGAGTAATACATACTCATTGGGTGAATAACGCTTGTGGACCTCCTAAGCGGAATATTTGATTCGTCCACAACTTCATGAGCAAGAGGATCATCAATAACAATATCATTGTTATTATCAACATCAACATGTTGATTATGGGTGTCACCATGATCATCAAGCCCAACAACATCATGCATACTTATGTGAGGAACTTTATCTAGATGAACTATGTCATCAAAATTTGAAGATTCTAGCTTCTCCGCTTTGTCAATATCTTCAATTGTTTGATTCTCCATGAAAATACTATCACGGCTTCTCACGAATTTCTTCTCAATTGGATCATATAGCCTGTAACCAAATTCATCAAGGCCATATCCAATGAAGATGCACTGCCTTGTCTTAGCATCTAACTTTGACCTCTCATCTTTCAGCACATGTACAAAAGCTTTGCAACCAAATACTCTTAAATGGTCATAGGAAACATCTTTTCCATATCAAACTCTATTTGGAACATCACTTTGCAAAGCAACAGTAGGAGATAGATTAATAACATGTGTAGTGGTCAATAAAGCCTCACCCCAAAATGAGTTCAGCAACTTTACTTCAGAAAGCAAACATTTAACTCTTTCCATCAAGGTCATGTTCATCCTCTTAGCCAAACCATTAAGGTGAGGAGTCTTGGGAGGAGTCTTCTGGTGTCTAATACCTTGATGCTTGCAGTATTCGTCAAATGGTCCACGTTTGTTGTATGGCAAAGACACACGCTGAAGGTTTTTCAAGTTCTGAATAGATGTAGGAATTGATCCAATCAAGTTATTATGAGAAAGATCAAGGTCTAATAAGCTGCTTAAGTTTCCAACTTTATTTGGAATCTTGCCTTTGATGTTGCAAGCAGCGGCATAAAATGTTTCAAGAGATTTGGAGAAGTTCCATACGGAGACGGGAAGCATGGCATTTAGAGGGTTGAAAGATAGAGAAAGAGTTGTTAATCTTGTGCAATTGGTTAAGGAAGTGAGGAAGCTTAAAAATGAATCACTGGTTAAAATGTTTCCCCACAAGTTTAGGAAGTTTAGATGAGTCAAATATCCAAGAGAATTGGGTATTAAGCCACTGAGTTTGTTTTGTGAAAGCTCTAGATCAGTAAGCTTTGAACAATTGGAGATAGAATGAGGAATAGTCCCAACAAGATTGGTTAAGCTAGCCAGATAAAGCCCTTCAATGTTGGGTAAGGTAGAACCTATGTTTGGTGGTAGAATTGCTGATATATTATTGAATGAAAGGTCAATATTTCTTAGTCGTGATATGTTGAAGATCTCCATTGGAAGTGAACCACTAAAACTATTTAACCCAAGATTAAGTTCCTCCAACTCAACGAGATTTCTTATCTCTTTGGGAATTTCACCTAGAAACACATGAGGTAAAGAAAGAAAGAATACTAGTGAGTTAATTCAATACAGTATAAGTTATACTACTTTTCGCTATCACTTTCAATACGTACCAATGAATCTATTTTCGTAAAAAGATAAAAATTACAACTTGGTTAAGTTGCCAATCTCCCTTGGTAAGGATCCCTTGAGATTGTTCCTCCCTAGTGAAACAAGTTGCAACGAGGACATATTGAATAAGGAGAACGGGATAGAGCCCGTAATCTGGTTCATTTCCACGCCTAATATCACCAAATTAACAAGATCTCTGATTTCTCGTGGAATTATCCCTGCATTAAATGTGTAATAAAAAAAATATATGAGGTAATTAGATACAATAGCACTAGCATTCATAAGATAAAACATATATACCTGTGAAATGGTTGGATCTGAGATACAATTTCCGCATGTTACTCAATCTTCCAATTTCACTATGTATTCGTCCATCAAAATCATTTACGGATAGAGACAATATTTGAAGTTGTGAACAATTTGACAAGCTTGTAGGCATATATATGGCCATGAAGAAAAATAGTGTGCTTTCTTGAATTAAATACACTTCCTCTTATTTATACACATACAATGAGATTAGATGTTGACTTAATTTTTTTTCTTTTTCTATTATCATTTCTCTTGACAGTCTTAAATTTTTTATTTCTTGTGTAGCCAGAGAATCTAGCATTTCGATAATCGTAATGAATACTTTGTTTACAAATTCAAGAAATTGGGATGTATACAGTCTGAAAAAAATTTATGTACATGTGGATGAATATATAATTTTAAATTTACAAGTGAGGATTTTATACTGGCTACAAATTTTATATAGTAATAGGGGACAAATGTGCGTTGCACGTTCCCAAAACTAGTCATATTATAAAGAGGAAACAGAGACATTCATTGCAACCAACTAGCATTTCTGAAAACAGAATCATGCACAAATCAAGTGCTAAAACAAAAACAAAAACAAAAACAAAAAAAAGCAAATCTTTCCATAAAACAAACAAGCAATCAATTTGGAAAAGGAGATTCCGGTAACATGCTCAGCGTGCAAGAAGTTGAATCTTGATCTTCTGTAGCATCCCTACAACATCTTTCTATGTTTGTCCTTCTTGCCGGAGATTCAGCACAGCAATCTAATGCCACTTTCATGATTGATGCCACAACATCTAGCTCCTTCTGTAAGCGATTATCCATTGGTGTAACCAGATTGGCATCCATAACGTCCATTACTGCCTCTGGGAGTGAATGACTCACCCATTTCTTCAAGCTAAGATCTCCCGCAAACTCACTAGGCTTTCTCCTAGTAAATGTTTCCAGCAACACAATCCCGTAACTATAGACATCACATTTTATTGACACCAGTCCATCCAGTCCATACTCTACAGTCAAACAATTAATTAAAAGATGCAATATACTTTCTTGATTGGAAAAAAAAGAATAAGAGGAAAAATCAATGTTCAAATTAGCAAAAACAAAGAGACGTACCCGGTGCTATATAACCAAATGTTGCTAAGGTTTTTGTGTATAAATCACTCTCATCTTCACCAAGCAGTTTTGAAATACCAAAGTCGCTTAGGTGGGCAACCATATCCTCATCCAGCAAGACGTTACTAGGCTTCAGGTCACAGTGAATCACCGGAGAGGAGCATCCATGATGAAGATATTCCAAAGCACATGCAACATCTATCATAATGCTTAGTCTCTGCCTGATGTCTAGGAAGTAGTTGTGCGAATACAAATACTTGTCAAGACTTCCATTAGGCATATACTCGAGCACTAAAGCCTTAAAATCAAGGTTGGAACAACTAGTGATGACTTTCACGAGATTCCTATGGCGAAGGCTACGCAAAACTTCACATTCTGTATCGAAACTCTTGAATGCTGCTTCCAGTTGCAGATTGAACACTTTAACTGCAATGGCAGTCCCACTCCTGAGAACGCCTTTGTAAACAGAGCCAAAACTTCTATAACCAATCAGATTACTCTCGCTAAGCGAATCAGTTGCTTGGAGCAGTGCATAGTATGAAATTCTTTCCGTTGTTGCCATAGACAATGAATCAGCTTGTTGAGGATCTCTTTTACCTCTTCTATACCTTATCCATAGGAACACAAAGGCGATAGGAACAAATACAAGTGCTATTCCTATTAAAAGAAATAGAACTAGCAATTTTTTCCTATTTGATCTATGCGTTGATGATGGTGGGCAGTGGTGGGACATTAAACCTTGACAAACCACACAATGCTTCATTGTTGATGAAAATTGACTCGAGAGGTTCTGAAGGACCTCCGAGAGTATTTCACCATGCAACTTGTTGACAGAAACACTCGAGGTATTGTAATTTCTCAAAAGACATGGGAATAGTTCCCGATATATTATTATGAGAAATGTCTAGAAATTCCAAGCCTACCATGTTGCTCATTGAGTCAGGTATAGATCCTTGCAACTTGTTGTGTCTCAAAGAAAGGTGCGCCAAATTTTGTAATCCCCCAATTTCTCTAGGAATTCTATTTGAGAATTGATTCATCGACAGATCCATCTGTGTCACAGCTTTTAGATTTCCAATTTCTGTAGGTAAAGAACCAACCATGTTGTTTGACGATAAGTCAAGAACCACTAAGTCTTTAAGATTCCCTAAGCTTGTTGGTATATTGGAACTTAATCTATTGGAACCCATGTGTATCTCTCGAAGGGAAGTGACGTTCCCTAAACAATTAGGAAGAGATCCTGAAAGTTGATTTTGACCCAAGAAAATATCTCCCAAATGCTGCAATTTACAAATGTTATCTCCAATAAATCCTGTAAGTTTGTTGTACTGAAAATGCATACGCTGAAGGTTACTCAAGTTCTGATTGATGTTGGAATTGATCCGAATAAGTTATTATAAGAAAGATCAAGGTCTAATAAGCTGGTTAAGTTTCCAACTTCATTTGGAATCTGGCCGTTGATCTTGCAAGCAGTGGCATGAAAATTTACAAGAGATATGGAGAAGTTCCCTACGGAGACCCGGGAAAGCATGCCATTTAGAGGGTTGAAAGATAGATAAAGAGATGTTAAAATTTCTGCAATTGGTTAAGGAAGTGAGGAAGCTTAAAAATGAATCACTGGTTAAATTGTTTTCCGCCAAGTTTAGGAACTGTAGATGAGTCAAATATCCAATAGAATTGGGAATCAATCCTGTGAGTTTGTTGTATGAAAGCTCTAGAATAGTAAGCTTTGAACAATTGGAGATAGAATAAGGAATAGTCCCAACGAGATTGGTTAAGCGATCCAGATAAAGCTCTTCAATGTTGGGTAAGATAGAACCTATGTTTGGTTGGATGGTCCCTGATAGATTGTTGGCTGAAAGATCAATTGATCTCATCCCTGATATATTGAACATCTCCATATCAAGTGAACCACTAAAACTATTAAAGTGAAGACCAAGTTTCTCCAACTCAACGAGATTTCTTATCTCTTTGGGTATTTCACCTGTCAATACATGAAGAAAGATTTGAGTTTACTAACTAGCTAGTTCAATACAAATTGCTATCACTTTGAATACGTACCAGCAAACCTATTTTCGTTAAGATATAAAACTTGCATCTTGGTTAAGTTGCCAATCTCCCGTGGTAAGGATTCCTTGAGATTGTTCCTCCATAGTGAAACAAAACGCAACGAGGAGATATTGAATATGGAGATCGGGATAGAGCCGGTAATCTGGTTTTTCTCCATTGTTAACTCCACCAAATTAACAAGATATCCAATTTCTTGTGGAATTATCCCTGCATTTAATGTGTAATAAAAAGATATGAGGTTATTAGATACAATAGTACTAGTATTCATAAGATAAAACATATATACCTGTGAAATGGTTATATCCGAGATTCAATGTCTGCAAGTTACTCAATCTTCCAATTTCACTATGTATTCGTCCATCAAAATAATTTTCGGATAGAGACAATATTTGAAGTTTTGAACAATTTGACAAGCTTATAGGCATATGACCATGAAGCTTGTTTCGTGATAGATAAAGCCTTTTGAGTATTGGGAGACCATTGCATAAATCATTGTGAAGATTTCCTGATAAGATATTGATTGCAAATGAAACAACTTTGATTCGAGAAATATTGAAAATTGTGAATGGTATATGTAACATCCGGCAAATTGAAATAACTATGAACAGGCGTAGAATTGGAAATTTTCATTTTTGGAAAGAATTTTGAAAATCTGGAAATTTGGCTAGGTATGGGAAAAAGGTGAGTTTTTGGCCAACTTTGAGCTGTCATAACTTCTAGCTCAGGATGCGTTAGGTGTAGTTCCAGTTATGGTTGCAAATTTCGTGGAATGATCTTTCCAACGCCACAGAGTTTACTCGATTCTGAGTTCGTATGAGGGAGTTATGCCCTTTGGAAGTTGGGCAGTTGGCAGGGAAATCCGTCCGGAAATTTTAAGGGCACTTTGGTCTTTTCCCTAATCAATTCTGTTGGTTATATAAATGTGTTAGGCTGATTTTTTGATCAGTTTTTACCATTTTAAAAGAGTGAGAGTGAGGGTTTTGAGTGAAGAAGAAGAAGAGATGAGGAGAAAGAGGAGATCAACCAAGGTTCCGTCAAAGATCGTCGTGGATATCGTCGGGGGTGATCCCTACTAGGTATGTGAGTCCATAGTGTGGGTTGGTTCTTTTCCCCACACGCCAAACTCGTTTTATTTTCGAGAAAAGATTGGTTATGTTGTTGAAGTTGTTGGGTTGTGTTGTTGATGTTGTTGATTGTGTTGTTGAAGTCCCTTGTTGATTTGGGACATGTTTCCGGTTGTGTTTGTGAGTTGAAATCTATTGTATGTTGAGGGGTT